CTGATATCACTTTTGATATTTGTTTCTTATTTCTTTATGTATGGTATTGATATCTTCCCACTTTACTTGTCTTCAGTCTTTAGCATTCAATGAATCAAATTTATTCTTAGCATGGTCTCTAAATTTAATTGGATATACACAAAGCTGTATTTTGGTTTTCAGGGTCTATTTTTAGTTTTCTTCAGCTTCACATTGAATTTGCCTGTGAGCAATTGATGGTCTATACCGCAGTTATCCTCTGGCCTAATTCTCACAAAAGCTATTGAGTTCTTTTGCCATCTCTTTCCACAGACATAGTCCATTGAATTCTTTTGCATTCCACCCAGAAAGGTCTACATCATTGAAACAAACATTTGCAATAAAAAGTCATTGGCTTTGCAAAATGCTGTCATGCAGAATTTTGTTTCCATCATCAAGCTGTGTTTTCTAACTACTGATCCTTTTTCTTTCTTTCCAACATTTGTATTCTAATCACCAATGCAAAATCTTTGTTTTTATAGATTGACATATAATTTTAAATACTCGTTTCATTAACTGCTTGTTCTTGTAGGTGCCTGGCCATAGTAGACCAGGATTGTAAAATTTAAAATGTCTACTATCAGTTTATTTTCCCTCGATAATTCCTAGAAATTCCATCTTTGAGTATTCAGTTTTATTTTTAACCAATTACAATTTCACATTATTTCTTTTAACTTTTTATTGTGAATTAGGTCAGAGTTTACATACCAGGTCATCATTTTTGGAGTGAAGAATTTATACAACTTACCAACTCTCCGATTGGCTTGCCCTGTCACGTCACCACAACTAGCTTTTTTTTTTTAACCACATCTTTCTTATAGAATATTATTTCCCCCAAGTTAACCCTTGTCTACCCACCCTCAGGTGTGTTACTATTCTTTCTTTCCTCTCCTCTACCAATGGTAACAACCAAATCCTGTTTCTTTTGGTATAAATGCTTTATCTTTTTTTTTTTTTTTAACAACAGTGCTCTCATATAATATCTGTCCTTTAGTGATTGATTAACTTCACTCATTTTAATATCCTCTAAATTCAACAATGTCATGAGCTGTTTCATAAATTCATCATTTTTCTTTAACAATGCATAGTATTCCATTTTGTGTATGTACCAAATGTACTTATCCATTTTTCCACTGATGGTAATTTTGTGGCTTTCATCTTCTAGCTGTTGTAAATAGTTCTGTAATGAACATCGGTGTACATATATCTGTTTATGTTATGATCTTTATTTCTTTAGGGTATATAAGAAGTTGAGGGATATCTGAATCATATTTCTATTCCCAGTAATTTCCATTATTTGTGCTTCATACATTCCATTTTCCATTTACCAACAAATGGTTGTAGTAGCTTATTCTCATTTTGTGTTATGTCACATTAGTTCATCAAAGCTCTAACGGCTGTATTCCTTCTATGCCACTATGTTTATACTACTTTGGTGAGGCAGATCTTTCCAAGTTATGTTCTGAATGCCGGAGGGCCTGCTCTTCTGCACTACATTAGACAGTGTTCTTCCAATAGCCAAAGGTTGTTCTCTAGTGAATTTTTTTTTAAGTAGATCTTTGGTCCTAGCCAGATCCCTCTGTCTATTCTCATTTAGACTGGAGCTCTGATGAACCCTGTCTGTCATGGGTGGCTGTGCTGGCATTTGAAGTACCAGAAGCATATCTTCCAGGAACAGGCTATGGTTGTTAGGTGCCATAGAGTCAATTACAATCTATAATGACCCTATGGAGGACACAGCAAACCATTGCCCAGTTTCGTGCCATCCTCACCATAGTTCATATGTTTGAGCCCATTTGGGGTCATTGTATCAATCTATCTTGTTGAGAGCATTCCTCTTTTTCACTGCCTCTCTGCTCTAACAATCATGATGTCCTTCCCCAGGGACTGGTCTCCCCTGATAGAATGTCCAAAGTACATT